TAGCGAATGTTTTTCAGACCAATAGAACGTGATGGAGTTAAATCGTCAAAAAAAATGCAACCATGGATTAATTTCGACTGAATAAAAGGAAAAGAGATCAGACTTGCTCGTTGTAACATAATAGTATATTTAAACATTTGGTTATGAGCACACAAACTTCATCAATTCCCTAACTTAGTTAAGACATTTTAATAGCGTTTCGCCATTTGGGTCTGCTAATCGCAGTTTAGAATTTTGCTGTAATGTTCCAATCGACCCTTGGCTGCACATCCAATGTCAAAGTGGTACGTGCGTGACAAATCGAGGGCTTTTCGCGCATGCGCGTCAGTGTCAACAAAGCGCCCTTCCCGGAAGTACTGATCAGATCTTACCAGGTGGTATTGGGTCTGCGCAAATTTTGACATTTCCTCAACAACGTTTATTTTGAGTCTGTCGAGGCACAGCCTTGCCTCGATAAGACTTTTCTCGTCAATCGAGCGATCCTTTCGTCCGGATGTTGTGTGGCAATCTAACAGCAGCATTGCTTTCTTCATACGCGCTAGGTCATGTTGCTTCCACAAGAAATTGTTCGTTTCTTCCTTTGAGTCACACGAACAAAGTCCTATACAGCGATCAAATGTCTGTTTAGCTTGCTCAACGACGCATTCGCGAGGGCGCAGCGCGCGTTCGAGAAGCAAGCAGCCTTCCTCGTAAGCAATGCGTGCTTCTTCGAGAGGGAACTCTGCCTTTGAGGATGATATATGCTTCTTGGCTGAATCTACACACCTCTGGGCCTCTCCTATCTTCTTATCCCTTCGGTAAATCCCTGCTAAGTAATAGCTTGCACGCGCTTTGAACAGAGGCCTTAGAGCGGACGAAGCCTTCGGAATAATTCTTATGGCTTCCTTGATAATTCTTTCGGCCGCACTCAATTCACCACGGTAACTGGACGCCATACTTTGATCTAGATTAACAATGACTTGGGAATCCACATTGTTTGCGAATTCTTTCAGAAAATTTGCAGCCTGTTGATTGAATTCATCCCAGTTTCCATCATTGAGCAGTGAAAGCAACATATTACTGGTATGGAAACAACTTTGATCGATACAATCTATGGAAATCTTTTCCACCGGAAGTGAAGTCTCCTCAACTGCCTGACATTTCTCCGAAATGGATGTCTTCATAGGTGAGGTACCACTTCCTTCCGGAAATGATGTTACCTTTCGATTTCGAACCGGAAGTGACGCAACTTTATGAGCACTTTGTTTATGGACGTGGGTACGCGTTCTGGCCGCTAATCTCCTGGGCGGAATCTTTCGTTCGCTTGTTTCAACCGCAATTCTTGCTTCATCTAGCAGTTCACTGGCCAGTGTGTCGGTCACCGTTTTCCATAAGGAGAATGTCACAATGTAGCGCGTCTTGGCTGTCTGGAAACGAAACCAGTAGCCAACAATACCTTGAAGGCAATCTAGCCCTGATTCTCGTTGGAACAAGACTCCGTCTCTAACCTCTGTTTTTCCATTTTTTTCACACTGACTCACGCTTATTTTCACTTCGTAAAAGTCTTTCATTTTCTTTGATTTTGCCAATGAGGAACTCTGGGGAAAGCTACATCCAACTGCTCTTATTGTAAAACGGTTCTCGCAAATTGCAAGAACGATAAGATGATCTTTCTCGATATTTGGAAACTCCTTGGCATTCTTCACAACTGCTACAGGCTTTGTGGGTAATCGGATGACACGAAAGACTGGCTGTGTATTGTCAAACACATTCGGTAAGTCTTCGGGTTGGATTACAAACTTATTTTTGTTTCCAATCATTAGGGTTTTACAACTTTTGACTTCTACTGCCAAATTGTATTGTTCGACTTTGGATTTTTCATCGGCTGGAGTGATTATCCTCACAAAATCAGCATGAATATCAAGTTCCTGACGAAGATTTCGCGAATCGGCTCCAAGTACAAGCTCATCGAATGATCCATATCTTCGTAATACACGAATAACCAGCTCTTCGTCATCGGAAACTTTCGTAGGTCCATCGGAGTCATAAGCTTGCATCGTGAGGTCAAAGAGGTCTATAGTATTATCGTCGCCAACTTGTAAACAAACAGGCTGAGTTTTAAGCATGACTTTTTTTGGTCGTGATTTTACGCTTGAGCTGTCGCAGTCTCCTTTTTCCATCCCTTTCGGCAAAACCACTTCAACTATCTCACCTCTAATTTCATTTCCATCCAACAAGGTTCGCCGCATCGTTCTATCTTTTCCTTTTTCGCCCACAGCTAACGCCATTTGATACTACGCAATATAAATTTCGTTGCCGTTTAAATCCACGAATACTATTTATATTTCCCTCGCTTTCCCTTTTCTCTTCCATCCAAAAGACATTTTGTCACAGTGGTTTCGAAAGTCCTCGGCAGATTCATGCGACAAAGATCTGAGGCCGAGAATAAAAGCCAAAAATTAACAACTAGAGCTTCACGACCGATGTCGGTGCGATCCCGTGAATCAGCCTTTAAAGGTTCAAAACATGACGTCACGGGTATTCCCAAGAGGTTTCGCTTTGTTTTGTTTGTCACGAGATACTCAGCTGAACTTTAACTTTGAATTGTGAATGAGACGCACTGTTAGCAATTCATTTTTGAACTAATGCTTTTCACGGGTACGATGTAAACTTTCAGCGATTTTGCAAGCTAATTTGCATAATCGGCTGTCACGCTAGCATAATCGCTGAAAGTTTGAAGTCACCGCGGCGAACAAAATTAATAAGTGCAAGATGTTTTTATATTTGTCTGCAGCCAAATTAGAAGAAATCAAGCGGAGTTTTTAATGGTGTGGTCTGGACTTGAGCAATATCAACCAAGAAGGAAAGAGTACTTTTGACCAATTTCAGAAAGCTGTCAAACGAGTGTTTTTAAATAAATTATGACGAACCCCTAAATAAACAAATATCAAAATTGAAATATTTTTTATTCACCTAACATATCACACAGTTTAAAAATACAAAAGATTTTTTGCTGCATGTGGTGTGATACGAGGACCAGGTTATTCAACTTTTGAAATTTTCGATGTCGCAAGAGGTCAAAAAAGGGCCTTTAGCAGCTTTGACTTTTGAGGCCTCTAAAAATTTTATTTTAACGTTTTTCCAGAAACTAATGTGGTTTTATTTATTTGCTAAAAAAGATTGTTTATTGGGCAAAGTTTGAGGGAAATTTTTTTCAGATGCGAAATACCCTGGACCGCTCTTACAGAGATCACCTCTTAAATCTTATGTTTTCATGGTTCAAAACTAGACGTCAAGGGTTTTCCCAAGAGGCTGCGCTTGATTAAATATTAATCGGGGGCTTTTGTTCTGAGAGACTTTTCTTTTGTTTTGTTTGTCACGAGATACTCAGTTGAACTTTACTTTGAATTGTGTATGAGACGCACTGTTAACAATTTATTTTTGAACAAATGCTTCTCGTGAGTACGATGTAATTCTGGAAGGAATATATTATTTACTGGAATATAATTGGAACGCAACATTTGGATTTTTACGATCCTTGATCGACGTTCATTGAAATTCTTCTCAACGAGCTGTGTCTTTAATCTCTTCGTACCAATGTGTAAACTTATGGAGGTAAAAATAAAAATGTCATTCCTTTGTCACGGGTGTGTGCAAAAAAGAAATCTGAATTGACGAGCAAATTCGAACTTCAGACCTTCGGATTTAGTGATGCATTACTCTACTTTTGAACTACAAAGAACTCGTTGGGGTGCAACGAAATAACCTAAATCCGGTCAGCTAGTCATTCTGTATTTTTGTGAGAGCTGTTCATCTTAAAATTTATCAAGAGACTTCTCAATTCTTTTTGGATCGCAGCGATCTTGCGTTGCTCCATGCAGACGTATCGTGAGACGCTTTGGGCTCCGCTCATATCAAAAATAACATTAAATATTTAGTCAAGAGAGATTACTCAACAAAAAAGAAACCCATCTATCATAACCTCTGATTATTTCAATTCAACCTTAAATTTCAATAAATTTAAATGAAAGTTTCAATCATAGAAATGTACTGCTTTATATCATTATTATTATTATTATTATTATTTTTACTCTTATTATTGGTATCAATATTTTCAACACATTTATCTTGAGGCAGATCTTCCCTTTTAACATATTCTCTTTATCAAAAAATCCTTAACGAAAAGTTAATTTCTGATGCAATTGTTAATCCACTCATGCTGTTCTTTCTTTACTATGAGCGAGCGTCAAAAAAAATATATTGTGCGCTTTCCCTCGCGTGTATCCTCTCTCGCACGCACGATCCTTTGGGCAGGTCACGCAACGTTTTGTTCTGTTTTGTTTTGTTTTGTTTTGTTTTTTTTTCTTGAAGAGTGCTACCATTCGATACTCTACGGAGGCAGCAAAAAAAAATTAGGACATGTCTTGGTTTGTGAAAAAAGATAAAAACATCCTTAACTGTATCGCGATCGATTCCTGTCAAGTCAGATTGCTATTATTGGTTGCAACATTCAGCTACTCTAATATCTTCAGGTCTTTAGAATTTAGACAGTCAGATTCGTATCCAGACGAACTACTCACGTCACCATAACACCCTTCACTGTCACTGAAGAGTGAGGTGCCCCCCACAGGACCATCAGATATTGCTTCCTGGCAAGTCAGAGCACGTATGTGATTAAGGCGTTCCTGGGCGTGATCAATCTCTGTGTTGAAGCCCATCTCAACTGCCATTTCTCTTGCCAAATTTGCGTATCTCTCTGCCTCTGTATAGTTCCCTTTCCGGTATTCCAGGTCCGAATATGCCAAGTTGAATTGCACTTTGACACCCTCGGGTATTACCGACCAGTATTTTTTTTTCAGTATGTTCAAACACTGCTCGGCTTTCGCGATCGCATCTTTACTGACAAAGCGTTTACGCGCAGCTTCCGTGCGACAGTCTAACAATAGCATCGCCATTTTTATGAGAGCGAAATGGTGTTTCTTCACGTAGAGTTTGCCATCTTCATTTTCCAGCTTTGTACAGAGGTCAATACATGTTTCCAGATTTCTTAAAGTTTCATTCACCTGTTGCGGGCTTCTATAAGCTGTGAGCACAATGAACTCCAGCAGAACACCCGCGCGTTCATAAACGATGAAACTCTTGTCGAGATGCGCGTGACACCCTTGACTGTTCTGTTCTGCAAGATCCACGAACCGTTCAGCCTCTCCTAAGTTCCTCTGTCGCCTCTTCACGCCGGCCTTATAACTAAAACCTCTACTAAGGAGAAGTTTTTGATTTTTCGCGCGATCAATCATGCTGAATGCATCATCGATAATCTGAAGAGAGATCTCTAGCTGGTTTCGGTAACAAGCTACCACGCTTTGTTCCAGTTTAATAACTATTTGAGTGTCTTCATCAGCAAACTCTAACAACAGATCGTTCGCGTGTTTGTCAAAATCATCCCACTTGGCATTGTCACGGAGAGACTGTAGTTCCTTCATCACCCTTAAGGATCTTTGGTAGAGTACTGTGCACTCTGCTGAGAGGGGAGCTGCGGTCAACTCAAGCGAAGGCGGAACAATTCTCGCAGCTTTCACTTTTTTTCCAGTCTTCCCAGATCTTGACGGGATCATGTTCCCTGTTTCTAGCGTGAGGGAGATTTCACTGATCGTTTCATTCACGGAAGTCGTCCATAAGTTTTTCTTTCTTCCTCGCCTTTTTGAATGAATGGGGTGAAGAAAGAACGTTATCTTGTACTTGGTGTTCGGTTCGTGAAAGCGGAACAGAAATCCAACAACCCCGATCATATTTCCGTTCGCTAAGCTTTTATTTTCGCTTTTTATTCGTTCGCTCTGGAAGTCAGGAATTTTCAGGCAAGATTCGCTAGGCTCAACGTGGCTTACTGATACACTGACGTCGTACTTGTCTGCGATGTCGAGCGCTTCTGTTGAGTCTTGGTTCCTACAAACCAATATTTCTACCAAATGATCTTCGCGGAGATCAGGAAAGCCGTTCCTTCTACGACTAAAGTTCAGACGTTCATCTCGGGGCTTCGATAGTTCTCTCAACACTGGAGCAAGCTTATCATTGTGACTTCCCTCTCCAGAATTTTGCGTAGCGAGTGAAGGATCCAAGGAATCAAAGTTCGTCGTATTTCTTCTTCCTATTTGCACGAAAGATGCGTCAATATTTAAGTTCAAACCAGAAGCCTCTTCGCTAGTATTCATCACGTCTCCTTCCCCACTTGAATGACAGTTGTGAACGTTTTTACTATCGCAATCCAATGTGCTTGAATCGAAGCCGTTTTGTACACCTTCGTCAAAGTCTCGAACACTGTTAACCATGTCGAGTGGTGAAACGCATCGTCTGCTTTCCTCTGAATTCCGTTCGTCAAAGGAGCAAAACATTTCTGTGCTAAGTGGGCAAGAACTTTCTCGTCGACTGTAAGTGTTATTTATCCGTTAAGTCTCAGCGATAAAAAAGCGATTAGAAGTCGTTTGATTGAGCCGAAGACATCTTCGACTCTCGTGCTTCACTGTTGTCACTTTCGAAAGTAAAAAGCA